CTGGCCGTGCGGGTGTCTGCCCTTTGTTTTATTATTTTAGAAAAACGCCCCACACCACCCCGGAAGACCCACACCAGCCATCGTATGCCGGCCGTGAAAGCCTTTGACAATACACAGAAAGCCAATTGTTAGTTGCATAGCAAGAGTATGCAACTGGTATGGCGGGTGGAGGGTCTTAAAAAATGAAATGGGTGCCTCTTTAAGACACTCTTCACCCTTAGACATGTCTAAATCCTCCCCAATTGTAAACCTATCTATTCTGGAGCCATGAATGCTGCAGAAGGAATGATGGCCACACTTTTTATAGCTAGGTTACATAGTGTGGGAAATTGAATACAAACAATGTTTTTAATTCACTTGTGATAATTAATAATGTGTTGGTACATCTATCTTTCAGGGTCAGTAATCACACTAATAAAATTTACAATTTTTCATGCCCCAAACAGACACATGCTTAAAATATTTCTCTTATTAAAATCAGTTGATGAAACTAAGTTGAGTTTAAGATACTGAACTTTTATCAGTTGTTTTAGACTAGTATCCAAGGCACAGTATCTGATAGAATAATCTTTTTGTACAGTATTTAATAAAAGAATGGTCCTGCTAATGCTTTCACTTGCTTACATCAATATATTACTGGCATAGTGTAGTAGTCTGATGTGTTTCATTAACATAGGTGATAATTTTTTATTTATTAAAAATACAAATAATGTCACCTTCCCTCTTACAGCAATACAATTAACACTCATAAATCATGGGGAGGCATAGTGATGATGTCCACACATGACCCAGGAATGGAAGGAACCAAGATATCATGTTGAAAGCAGAGTGTTTCCACATACTCTGCTGTGCCTATATGACACAATCTAGCAATTCACAAAGAACAGAATCCCTCAACAATGCTGTTTTCTTTGGCACAGCTATGATAAGCCCAGTAATTGATACTTCAGGAAGCCTCTCAGTGTGGATTTAAATCCCTTTTTACTATAAAAAATACAATCCACAAACTGTTTTATGAGGCAAATGTACTGAGAAGACAACATGGATATTTAGATTGTAAGCCCCTTGGGAGCCTTTAGCATCAGTATTGTTTGTAAAGTAATAGGTACATACCATGCATGCAAAAGTTAAGGCATCACTGTCAAATTATGTTTCAATGTATCCCTGTGTGAATTGAAGCTGATATAATCTGTTCATGGTACAAGTGAAATAAGACTATTTTTTTGCAAATGTGAATGCACACTTAAAATTTCTGTGCAGTTGTTTAAAATAAGAAAACAATGAATGTGATAGGTGCAGAAGTTTGGACTGTGGAGTAGTTGTCCACAGTTCTGCAGTATAGCATTACTTATTCAACAAAGATCTGCAGGGGAAAGTTGGCAAAAGGAAACCTTTTCTCTAACTCATCACAAAAGTCATTATCTAAAGTTGGCAAAAGAAAGCCTTTATAAGCCTAAAATATTTTGGAGGAATGTGCTTTGGACTAAGGAAACAAAATTTGAACTCTTGGCTACAAACACATAAGACACTTTGAGTAAAAGAGTGGAGCAGTTGAAGAAAAGATTGCCAACAATTAAGTAGGGAAGTAATGAAACTTAATTAAAAACCTGAAAATGGTGAAGCTTGACTTGAAACATTTGGAAGTCTTCAACGTGCAGCTTAAGAAGTCCTGTTTGTTCATCAAGTGAACAAACCATTTAATTCATTTAGCAGTTTATTTGAAAGACACAGCTCTCTGTAAATAAAGCCCTTACATTGGGCTGCATATGGAAGCTAGCCAGAGAGACTTGGTGCTTTTCAGCACAGAATCTATCCATATAGAATCCCTCCAGTTTGTTTGTTTGTTTGTTTGTTTGTTTGTTTATTAAATTTCTCACCTGCCCATCTCTCCACAATGGGGGAACTCTGGGCGAGTCACACCGAACATTAAAAACATAAATATATATAAATACA